GTATGTGCCCTAAGGTGGCAGCAAATGGATATGCATTTGCCATTTTATTTGGTAGTAAGAGCATCTTTAGTGGGAGGTTTTGATGAGGTTTAAAAACCCACCTCCATAGGTTTACCATTATTCTAATGAGGTTTGAGGTTTAGAGCATGTTTGTTTATGAATTTTTTTAAAAAAGAAATTCAACATTTTAACTCAAGCACTTTTTTTAACTCAACTTTAATTCAATTACACTATCATCGAAATTATCAATATAATTAAATAATATCAATCAATCATTCATATATATCACATCAACCTTAATTCATTATTCATCTACTCACATTATTTTAGCTAACTATTACTTCAAATCTCTCTCTGCTACTTTTACATCAAATCAATTTTAATTATTTTATTTTAAATATTATTTTAATATATCCACTAACAATTAAAGTAGGTTTACAATTTCGGGTAATTCCTCTAAAATCCCTAATGGACATTTGAGTTTCCTTGTCAGTCCCCACTGTCTTTCTTTTTCCTCTGCACTCCCTAATGCATATTTCTCTTTCCTCTCAACTCCCCCTATATATACTAATATCATTATTATTCATTTATTTTTCTTAAATCACAACAAATGAATGTCAGGAAAAAGAAAAAAACACCGCCCCAATTCATTCTCCTCCGCCCCAGAAAACCCCATCTTCCCCTCTCCGTTTCGGCAGGTGAAGGCGTCGCCTCCGCACCCTTCCCCTCGCTTTCACCGGAAATTATAACATCGCCGCATTTCAATTTTTTCGTCGCGGTTCTCCGGGCCCACTTCTCCCGCCTCACCTTCTGCCACGTGGCCTGGATCTTGGCGTGCACGGTTCGCCTCAGCGAGTCCACCAAGTTGGGCCCTTGATCCCCAGCAGTGTCGGGTTTCGCAGGTTCGGGAAGCTGAGCTGCGCGTACTCCCCATGGAGCTTGTACGTTGCCCGGTCGTAGGCATACGCGGCGGTTTCCGGCGTGCCGTAGGTGCCTAGCCACGCACGGACTCTATTTTGTAACCATTTTCCCCACTGCCGCTGCCTCACCCTCTGTACATGTTGGTCTTGGTCGGGCCTGGATGCTTGAGGCCCGAGCCTGAATCAAGATCCGAAATTGGAATTGCGACCCTTGTGATTGGTAATGGGTTTACTTGATTGAGCTAATTGAACAAGTATTTTTGCACACTGATGAGCCCAGCGGCTCGAGAACCGGGCCCGATGGCATACGGTTCGATTCGTGGCAATTGGAGAAAATCGAGTCTAAGGCGTTTGATGAATAGCTTTTGAGAATGAGTTGTGATAAATATAAACAATTTGAGAGGAAGTATTTGGATTAGAAAAAGAATGATAATTTCTTTGATTTTTGTCAGAAAAAGAAAGGTGCTAAGAGCTCATATGTTGAATTGCTTATGCCTCCATCTGTTATAAAACTATCTTATGCCTCCATCTGTTATATAACACTAACAAACCTGGAGTTGTATTTTGTACAATTTACATTGTGTTTTAGCAGAATTATCTGGGGAATTAATTATACGTTAGCAGTGGATGTGGAATTGTTTAATTTAGGCGTTGTATTTTGTACTCTGTAGCATATGCTTCTTCTGAGATGTAAATTAAAGAGAAGATTCCATTCATTACCTGCTTTTGGTTACTTTGGTAGATTTTTGGACCTTTCAAATGGGATTCCTGTAAAGAAGTGCCAATTGAGAATGTATTTGTGCTTTAGACTTTTTATTCTTGCATATGATGACAATTAACTTCTGTATGAGTTGGTTAGGGTTGAATAATTTACATGCCTCATTATGGTTTAAGCTTTTATGTGAAATGTGTAATAGCCCAGTTCTGTATTAATAAAAATGACAGTTTTTAGTTCCCAGTTGAACTATTTCTTTTTATTAATACTGCTCGTCTTGAGTTCCGAGCCCAGTTATCAGCTATTCAATCTCAGTTATTAATTCCGGTCCATTTATTTTATTAATGGATTTTATTCAGTCGGAGTTAGTTATTCCAGTTGACGAATAATCGAAACCGAGTTTGTTTCGATAAATCGTCCAAGTTTAGCCGTGTCCGGAACCGAGTTGTTCGGTCGCGAGTATCGCGCCTAGCCAATTCTCGAGCCCTAGTTGTCTCGAGTCTTGTTCGAGCCCTAGCCATGCTCATAGCCTTACTTAGAATATTTTCTAAGTATGAGATCCTTTTTATCGAGCCACGAGTTCATATCTAGCCAAGGGTTATCCTCGACTAAACATTTTCCAAGCTCGGGCCATGAGTCGTGCCCTAGTGCCGCACCCTAGCCTCGCGCGAGTC